GCTGCTTTCTTTTGAAGGGACCTTTTTACTTTCTTCCTTATTGTCTTCTGAATGTTTTTTTCTTGTGATTTCTTAGTGGTTACCACATATATAACATTACTCAACTTACAATAACATTTAACCTATGAACAATAGTTAACATACAACCTTAACATAATAAATCTCTTCCTGATATGCTCCTCCCTCCACCATTTCTGTTGGTGTATCTTCATTAACATCAATATACAATGTATATTTGATAAGTTTACTTTGTACTTATTTCTTACAAACTTGATGTTGTATTGTCTGTGGGCTTTAATTATTGAGTTTATTCCCTGAAAATATCATATACTTGTTCCTTATGATTGTCGAGTTTCATTTTTTGAGATTGCTCTCTCGTTCTTATTTTTCATTTATTTTTTCCTGTATATAGATACGAGTATTTATTTAATGCTCTTGCCCTTTCACTTGGAGTACTCCCTTGAGTAAATCTTGCAAAGCTGGTCTGGTAGGGGTAAATTCCCAGAGCTTCTGTTTGTTTGGGAATGTCTTGATTTGCCCCTTGTTTTTGAATGACAACTTTGCTGGGTAAAGAATTCTTGGTTGGCAATTGTTTTCACTCAGTATAGTATATGTGTTGCTCTGTTTTCTTCTGGTCTCTAGAATTTCTGGGCTGAAATCGGCACTGATTCTTATTGGTATGTTATATTGGGTTTTTCTCTTGTTGCTTTCAGAAATCTCTCCTTGTCTTTGGTTTTCAAGAATTTTATTAGGATATAGCACAGAGTTGATTTTTTTGTTTCTTCTAATCAGGGTTTGTGTAGCTGCCTGTATTTGTAGGCTTGCTTCTCTGTTCAGGTCTGGGAAATTCTCTTTGATTTTCTCTCGGAAAATTGTTTCTGTGCCTTTATTGTTGTCATGATGCTCTGGGATTCCAATAATTCTCATGTTATATTTCTTAATTGAGTCTCATATTTCCATTTGAGTTTGTTTGCTTTTCTTTGTTCTTTTCTCTTGTTCTCTTGTGACTTGATCAGTTCAGTTATTTTGTGTTCTAGTTCATTTATTCTATCTTCTGTCTGTTCAACTCTATTTGTTCAACTCTGTTGTTGAATGTCTCTCTTGCTCTTCTAATTCAATTGCTTTATTCTTCAGTTCTAGTAGTCCTCTTTGTTTTTTTCTTTTTTGATGTTTTCAGTTTCTTTGTTGATTCTCTCATTTTGTTCCACCATTTGTTTCCTGATCTCCACTAGTTTGTTTTCAGTGTGCTTTTTGCTTTCTTTAAACATATTTAGACTATAGTCTGAAAATTTTCGGTTCATCCTGTTAGTCTGGCCTTCAGATGAGAAATTTCCTCTTCTTCATGTTTCACTTTTGATTGGTTCTTCTCTTGTGATTTTGTGTGTTTTGCTATTTTTTTGTTGAACTTGGGCCATTTTGTTATTTTTATTATTTTTTTTACTTTAAATTTCATATTCCAGTTTTTGTGGGAAAATCTTCTGATTGGGCACCCTGGTGGTGCAGTGGCCAAGAGCTCAGCTGCCAACTGAAAGACAGGCCCTCACCCACCAGCTGCTTGGTGGGAATAAGATGTGGCAGCCTGCCTCTGAAAAGGCTCACAGCCCTGGAAACCCCATGGAGCAGCTCCACTCTGCCCCACAGGGTCTCCACAAATCAGAATTGACCTGGGGCCGTGGGCCTATTATCTTCTCCTGAGAGCCATTGGAGGACACTCTTATTCTTAGGTTTTTTTCAGTGTTGATTCAGGAGTTCTGGATGCTTGAGCTCTGGAATTCAACATGCATGCACAGGAAGAGGAGAGTTTAGCTGGTCGCAGAAGCTGACGTAAGTGGTGAGGCTCAACTTTCCTGTGATGAAGGTGGGGGGATCTCTATGTCTTTCCCTCACAGGTGCCCCCACACAGGCTCTCCCACAGTGTCCCACTGTGGGCAAGGAGCCATCCAAAGTATTCTCTCACCCTGCTGCCCTGGCAGTTCCTCCTGGTCCTAGTGCCCATCTGTCTTGGGCCTCAACGAGATTCAGTGGCATTCTCACAGTGTCACAGTCTCCATTTTCCACCTCCTAATGTGCAGCCCACAAAATCCCAAGGCCAATCTGAGCCACCTTAAAAGATCGGGCCACAGCTTCCTCAGATAAACTCCCTTTCTGTATTCCCTGTTTGAGGTTTGCCCAGCCCCATCCCAGAATGGCTGCTATGAGAGCGTTCTCCCGATGTTAGCGTGTAGGTTTTCCCAGCTTCTGTGCTGTCCCTGCTTCTCCTCTCTCCACTTCTGGACTCACCCCGACACTCCAACATCTCAGCTGCCATCCAGAGTTCTGAAATCTCAGTCTGTGCTTATTTTTACTCTTTGTTCAGTGGGTTAGTTGCTGGGGGAGTAAATGGGAGCATTCACTCACTTTACCATCTTGCTTTACCTCTTATGTGTGTTTATCTTTAAGTACCCCTCTTGGGCTTGTAAAGAGCCCAGGTGGTATTTGGCTGCTAACAAAAAGGTTGGCAGTTCAAACTCACCCAGAAGCTCTGTGGGAGAAAGACCTAGTGACCTGTTTCTGTAAAGATTACAGCCTAGAAAACCCTATGGGGCAGTTCTACTTTGTCCCATGGAATTACTGTTTTGAGTCTGGAGCCTTAAGGGGGAGCTCCCTTAATGTAAATATAATATTAATAGGTAAACTAACTAACTACTGTATGAGTAGACATGGAGTCATTGGGAGTGGATCCACCTCCTGTGGGTCTAGGGTGAGTGGGAACCTTCTCTTCCCAGAGAATGTTAGATTCAATATTGTAGGTGTGATTTAAGACTAAGACACAAAATAGATTTAAAGAAGTTTATTACTTACAGATCCTTGAGGTGAGGGAGGAGCAACCTGAGACGTGTGGACAGTAGTCTTCTGTCCCAGGTCCGAGCAGGAAGAGGGTGAATCATGTGAGGAGGGGAGTCTTAAACTACTAGTGAGGTCGGGTCCTATAATTTCATGAGCTTAGCTACCATTAGGTGTATTTGAATGTTACCCCAGGAAACTGAGTTATGAACTTAACTACCTTATCTATAGAGTCCAGCTTAAGTCAGGGTAGAGAGGTTTTCTACAGGGGTATGGCTGGGTAAGGCCTTGGCAGGGGCCTAGGTGGCAAACTGAAGTTGGAGAGGATGTCTGGCTCCTAACACAATCACTATGAGTCAAAAATTGAATCGAAAGAAATGGCTTTGCTAGGAAAAACACAATGAAAAGAAATTCAGTTAGGAATTATTTTCTAAAGTGAATAACCACCATTTACAAATATGTCCATATTTGGTATGTAGGTTTTCCTTAAACCCAGTTGCTTACATATTGGCTTTGTTATTGGCCTCCAATTAATTCTTTCTAAACCTAGGAAGATCTTATAGTGGTTCCTAAAATTTAGTGTGTAGACAAACAAATTTTAACAGTAATTTAAAAGTAATAACTAGATAAAATTATTCAAAGTGAACACCTGTACAAACATATATGCTTTCCTGTCCCGTGGATTTGTGTGGAAGCCTGATGTCCACAGCACTTACCATTCCTTAAACTTTGATTGCATGTTGGTCTGTTCTTTCTTTCCGTTTTTTTTTTTTTTCCTGGCCTACCAACCTGAAAAGCTCAGACACTATAAGAAATTGAACTAAGAATCTTGCTGGTGGCGGCTCCAGGCTAATTTCACAGCATTTCCGGTCTTCTCGTTGTTGTGTGCCATCAAGTCGATTCCGACTCATAGTGACCCTATAGGACTGAGTAGAACTGCCCCATACAGTTTTCTAGACTGTAATTTTTAATGGAACAGATCACCAGGTCTTTTCTTCCAAGGAGTCGCTGGTGAGTTCAAACTGCTAACCTTTTGGTTAGCAGCCAAGCTCTTAACCATTGCACCACCAGGGCTCCTTTTCCAGGCTTAGGCGAAAGGACAGTCTATAAGTAATGATGCTGAACAAGTTTCAGCGGAGCTTCCAGACTAAGACAGACTACAAAGAAAGGGCTGGAGATCTACTTCCAAAAAGCAGCCAGTGAAAACCCTACAGATCACAGTGGTCTGATCTGCAACCGATCATGGGGATGGCGCAGGATCAGGCAGCGTTTTGTTCAGTTGTGCATAGGATTGCCATGAGTAGGAGGCTGACTCAGCAGCAACAAACAGTAAGAAGAATTCTCCAAACTTGGACTGCATGTTTTCTGAGGGCAGGAACTATGTCCAGGTCTTATTTTCCTCCCCTCTGAAGTTTCTACCCCAGGTTTAGGTTGAGAGTAGGCACTCCGTCAGTAATTATCTGACTGAATGATTGATTTAGTATATCTGGTGGTGTTGTTAGCTGCTGTTGAGTTGGCCCCCAACTCACAGCGACCCCATGTGTTACAGAGTAGAACTGCTCCATAGGGTTTTATTGCCTGTACTCTTTATGGAAGCAGTTTGCCAGCCTTTCTTTGAACTGCCAACCTTTAGCTTGCGCCACCCTCCAGATGGAGCCCTCATGGTGCAGTGGTTAAGAGCTACAGCTGCTAACCAAAAGATTGGCATTCAAATCCACCAGTCACTCCTTGGAAGTTTTATGAGGTAGTTCTACTCTGTCCTATAGGGTTGCTGTGAGTTGGAATTGACTCAAGCGCAATGGGTTTGTTTTCTTTTGTTTTACCCTCAAGATAGAAGAGGAGCACATTTCAAATGGGAGAACCAGACGTCGTTAGCGGAATGGTGTTCTTAAGTCACAAAATGCACAGAAAGGATTTGGACTGACTTCTCTTTAGAATAACGATTCCCTTTCCCGTTCACACAGGCAGCTCCGATTCTTCTTTGTTACCAACAAATTCACTAAAATTGCATCACTCTACTGTGGTTCCTCATAAGCAACGTTCCTCAGATCAGCCTATGCAAGACGAATCACCTTCTCCTTGTACCAGAGTAACTCAACATGCCTAGCAGGTGTTGGTTTAAGAAGCAAGGGGCAATGACACCATCTGAGTGTTTCTTCTTTGTCTCCTTGTTCAAGGTGTCACGAATGAGGACAACAAGACTCTGGCATGGGAGGGCGTCATGAAGGAAAATTACCTCGTCAAGATCCACACGAAAGCCAGCGACACCTCCGAGGAGTAAGTCAGTCATTCCCTTTCTGCTTTGTGAGGCTTGCTTGTTGTATACGCTGGCAGCATGCAGGCTAGTTCTCTAGTTGTGTTATAACAGAAATACCACGAGTGGGTGGCTTCAAGAAACAGAAATTTGTTTTCTCACAGTTAGGAAGCTAGAAGTTTGAATTCAGGGCACAGGCTCTAAGGGGAAAGCTTTCTCCCTCTGTTGGCTCTGGGGGAAGGTCCTTGTTCCTTGGTTCATTGTTGATCTTCATGTAGTATGGCATGTATCTCCTCTGTCTCTCTGCTCCCTTTTTTGCTTGTGCTTAATCTGCTCTTTTATATCTCAAAAGAGACTGATTTAAGACACACCCTATACTAACACTGCCTCATTAACATAACAAGGAAAACCCATTCCCCAGTGGGGTTATAACCACAAGTACAGTGGTTAGGATTTACAACAAATTTTTGGGAGACACAATTCATTCACCAAAAAGATGTTACCCAGCTGATTGAAGATGATAAACGGCTGAGTATGCGTCATTCTTTCATGAAGAGGAGAAAAAACAGCCTCCCCTCACCATGCTGATTGTCCTCCCAGGTCCTGGGGAAGAACAAGGTGTTTGGAGCCTGCAGTTCAGGGGCCAGGGAACCAGGTAACTAGAGCTTGGTCTCTTGGCCATGATGCGGAGGTGGATTCTGTGAAGACCTGCAGATCGTGGGCAGTTAGCGCAATCTCAAAGGTGCCACACCTGGATCTCTGTGATGAAGAATTAGAGGGATGGAGGAGGGAAAACTGTTGGATCGATCCGTGTCATGGATTGAATCGTGTCCCCCCAAAATATGTGTCGACTTTGCTAGGCCATGATTCCCAGTATTGTGTGATTGTCTACCATTTTGTCATCTGATGTGATTATCCTATGTGTTGTAAATCTTGCCTCTATAATGTTAATAAGGCAGGATTAGAAGCAGTTATGTTAATGAGGCAGGACTCAATCTACAAGATTAGGTTGTGTTTTAAGCCAATCTCTTCTGAGATAGATAAGAGAGAAGCCGAGCAGAGACATGGGGATCTCATACCACTGAGAAAGCAGAGCTGGGACCAGTGTGCATCCTTTGGACCCTAGGTCCCTGCACTGAGACGTTCCTAGACTAGGGGAAGATAGATGTCATGGACCTTCTGACAGAGAGAGAGAGCTGACAGAGAGAGAAAGGCTGCCCCTGGAGCTGGCACTGGTCATTTGGACTTCTAGCGTCCTAGGCTGTGAGAGAATAAATTTCTGTGTGTTAAAGCCAACCACTTGTGGTATTTCTGTTATAGCAGCACTAGATAACTAAGACAATCTGTTGCACGTGCTCCTGAGTAGTCCTGAACATTTATGAATCACATGAAGTTGTTATAAATACCCTATAAAAATAAATGAGTGCCAGCTAAGTCCATAGGCGGGCCACGGGTAGTGTGTTATACAGGCCTTGTAGAAGGCATGCTCTTCTTCTTGTGAGGATAATTGTTGTTGTATGCCGTGGAGTCGATTCCGACTCGTGGTGACCCCATGTGACAGAGTAGGACTGCCCCATGGGGTTTTCTAGGTTGTAATCTTTTAGGGAGCACATCGCCCGGTCTTTCTCCCTCAGAGCCGCTGAGTGCGTTCTAACCACTGATCCTTCAGTTAGCAGCTGAGAATTTTAACTGTTGTGCCACCAGGGCTCCTGTTACAAAGATTAATGTGCCTCACTGTCCCCAGTCACTCTTACTGAGAGGTCAAAACTCACCTCAAAATTCACTTTAACAAAAAACGAGTAAACACAATTAATCCCTTTGTTATCCCCGGGTAACACAAAATGGTTATGCGCTCAACTACTAGCCGAAAGGTTGGCAGTTGGAACCCACCCAGAGGCGCCTCAGAAGGCAAATCTGATGATCTGCTTCTGAAAGGTCACAGCCTTGAAAACCCCATGGAGCAGCTGTGCTCGGCACACATGGGGTTCCCGTGAGTCAGAATCGACTCGTGGGCAACTAACAACAACAGCAATCCCTTTGTTAGGTTCAACACAGCTATTGGAAGAAGCCTGGAGCATTCTTCCCTTTGAATAACAGAGTGGACGCCCTAGTTCCCCTCTATTCCTGGATGCTAGACCTTGGTTTTGGAAGGGAGGGATGACCTCGGGTCACCTTCCACCACCCCACCAGCAGAGACAGCATTTATTTGCGGCCCTTCTAACTGGGATGAGAGAGGAACTCGGCTTAGTTTGGGTGTTAGGAAGACATTCAGAAAGGTGAAGGCAAGTGAGCCTTGATTTAGCTGAAATTGAAAATGACCTGTATTCTGCCCTTCCAAAGACTGTGAAATGGAGCCTGGTAGCATCTCTCGAATTCTCTCTCTCTCTCTTTTTAAAATTTCTTTGCAGAATGAGGCATCGGTTTCGACAGCTGGATACAAAGGTATGGGTCTGTTTATTGTTTGGAAAATACTTTTTATAGCTATTATCTTTGATAATATCTTTGAAAATAGAGAAGTTAACTATTAAAAAAAAAATTATAGACATGACTGTTCCATATCCAGTTTTCTTCATGACTGGTGAGGGCTAGGTGCTGGAATGGAGTCGCTTCTCAGGCTCCCAGCCCACACAGGAAACAGTCCTGAAGGCCTGCTTCCGTGATCTCGAAAGTCTTTCTGCCCTGTCTAACCCAGGGCCCATTCTCTTCTATCTCTCAGCTGTGGAGGCAGGTGTTGCTGTTGCTGTTGGGTGCTGTCAAGTTGATTCCAACTCATAGTGACCCCATGTGACAGAGTAGAACTGCCCCATAGGGTTTCCAAGGAGCGGCTGGTGGATTTGAACTGCTGACCTTTTTGTTAGCAGCCGAGCTCTTAACCACCACGCCACCAGAGCTCTTTGAGGCAGGTGTAAGCCCTTGGAGTTACAGGGAAATCCAGAAAGGCTCAAAATAGCTGTTTGGGAGCCTATGAGCCTCTAGACCATTCTACATGCCACTCTAATTTGTTATCTACTTAACTTGAGGAGGGAGCCCTGGTGGCACAGTGGTTAAGAGCTCAGCTGCTAACCAAAAGGTCGGCGGTTCAAATCCACCAGCTGCTCCTTGGAAACCCTATGGGGCAGTTCTACTCTGTCACGTGGGGTCACTATGAGTCGGAATCAGCTTGATGACAGCGGGCTCTTAACTCGAAGAGTGTGGCTAATGCTTGAGTTGACATGTGCACATTGAGCATGGAGAGGGTTTGCCCACCCATACCCTGCCCTCAGCTGGGGAGCCGGGAGTTAACGTTAATTCAGCAGAAATGACACTTACTCCAAAATGCCGGCTCCCTGTCAGGCTCTGAAGAGGAGATGATACTTGGTATTTAATCACGAATTCTGAGAATGGTATCCTGAATGGTGACCTTCACATACTAAGACTTGATTTATTGGTATTATATCATCATTTTTTAATTAGTGTTATACTTTCATCGAAGAAAATTTTTATTAGTATTTTATAATTTTATTAGATTAGTTACATATACTGTTATTATTTCCATAGATTTTTTTTCTCTGTATCATTACAATCTATCGTTTCTGTGTAGGACCCACTAGTGATTTGCATTTTAAAAAACCACACTCATTGCCGTCGAGCCGATTCTGACTCATAGTGACCCTATAGGACAGAGTAGAACTGCCCTTTAGGGTTTCCAAGGAGTGCTTGGTGGATTTGAACTGCTGACCTTTTGGTTAGCAGCTGAGCTATTAACCACTGCACCACCGGGGCTCCTAAATTTGCATTTAGGTAAAGCAAATACAGGAGCCCTGGTGGCACAGTGGTTAAGTGCTTGGCTGCCAACTGAAAGGTCGGCGGTTGGAACCCACCAGCAGTTCTACGGGAGAAAGATGTGGCAGTCTGCTTCCGTAAAGATTACAGCCTTGGAAACCCTATGGGGCGGTTCTACTCTGTCCTACAGGGTTGCTGTGAGTCAAAATCCACTCAACAGCACCCAACAACAACAACAAAGCAAATATTAATTGGGGCTAATGATCACTTGCTAGTTCTATGATTTCAGCAAGTAAGCAACGAACAGAGTCTGAAATACCCCGTGCTGTCCTTACTCCACCCTTCCAATGCGTGCCATACTTGTTGTTTTACATACATGTCTGTTTCATGGAAAAACCTTAGGACCGTTATTTGAAATTGAAAATTGGGAAATTTTATCTTAAGACCAGTTCTATTTTATCTCCTCTCCAAGCTTAATGATCTCAAGGGCCTTCTGAAAGAGATAGCTAATAAGATCAAATGAAACCACATGGATTCTAAGGGAGCCAAATCTAATTATAGTCAGGTAAGTCATTCTGATGGCTTCTTTTTTGTTTTTCCTCTGAAAATTTACATATTTTAAGTCTAACTTAAAATCGTGATTTTTTTCAGTTATTTTCTTTTCATACAGTATCACATTTGCAAATAACCCTTTTTGTAAAAAATTCAAACAGTTTAGGAACATAGGAAAGAACACACGAAAGGCCCCCCGCCTTACCTTCTCCACCAATTTCACTCCCCACCCTGGAGGTTAGCGCCGCTAGAGTAGGGTGCAAGCGTCCTTTTGGATCTTTTTAAAGCACTCGAAACCTATTCATCTACTGACATCACTAAATCAAGGTCACACCATTCTAAGACTTGCTTTCATTTTTTTCACTTAACTGTGTATGACGGATGGCTTTCCAGGTCAGGGCCTCAGAATTTACCTCATTCTCATGATACAGCGTTTATGTTTGTTGCTATGGGATATACAAATGTCTGTTTTTACTAGCAGAAGTCTTTTCAGTGACACTGCAAGTTTTTTTAGCAGTAGCTCATTTGTGAAATAAAAATGTAACTCAATTAACTGGCAGAATTTAACCCAAGGCGTTGCTATTGTTGTTATTGTTAGGTGCCATTGAGTTGATTCCGACTCACAGCGACCCTATGGACAGAGTAGAACAGCCCCAAAGGGTTCCCCAGGCCATAATCTTTATGGAAGCAGACTGCCTCTTCTTTCTCCTGAGGAGCGCCTGGTGGGCTCGAACCACCAGCCTTTGGGTCAGCAGCCAAGTGCTTTAACCACTGCGTCACCATGGCTCCTCCTGACAGTTCTAGAACATATTAAATTCTCTGTTGTGGAGGGCTTTGTTAGAGTGACGTTGATGCATATTTTATGTTATCGGAAGGGCAGGTACAGCCTCCCGGTGTGCTTGAGAAAATAAACCTTGCGTATTAAGGAATAACTTATTTCAAAGCATAATGGTGTTTAATGGAAATAATATTAAACTTTATAATAAATTATAATTTGGATTTTGAAACATTTGCGATTTTTTTATATTTATGAGCTGAAGATAGGAAAAACAACCAGGAACAGATAAAACGATCAAAAATGATAAAAGACCTAAAGGTGATCGAAGATTTGAGACAATCAGAAAAGATTCCAGTGCAGATCTGCACAGCCGCCAATCTCCTCTTCTGTCATTTTTAAAAAGTGTGTTGACTGTGATTAAAATGAGCAAACGAACTGGCTTCCTATCGACTTGCCTTTTGCTTAACCTTAAACGATTATTAATATATAGAGAGTTAGTTAATTGGTGAATGGGAATGAATGAGGAGGAAAACATTACTTCATTTCTGTGTGTTGTGTGTGCGTGTGCGTGCTGGCACATACACACCCACGAGAGAAGGAGGATAAGAAGAAAAGTACGTGAGAAAACAGGTGCCCCATAAATTCTGAACCCTTGACATTTTTTGGAAACCATGAATTTGACATGTCCAATTTTGGGTATATTTTTTCCTTGTGAATCTAGGATCCGTCTGTTTGCTGTGTCTGTCTGTTTGGGCATATCCTTGAGAAGCTCACTGAAAATGTACGTTTGTATGCAACCAACTGAAACCAAACTAAACCTGTTGCCGTCGAGTCGATTCTGACTCATAGTGACCCTATAGGACGGAGTACAACTGCCCCATCGGGTTTCCAAGGAGCGCCTGGTGGATTCGAACTGCCTACCTTTTGGTTAACAGCTGAGCTCTTAACCACTGTGCTAGCAGGGCTCCTGGCAACCAGCTGCATGAGGCTAAGATCTTATTCTTCTAGTGCCTCTCGAGTGCTTCTTTCTCTAGAGGGTTGGGGCCATCTTCTCTCCCTGGGATAGGGGAAGGGCAAGGGAATGCCAGCCAGCCCCACTCCCATAGGTGTGAACTGCAGCAGTTGAAGCAAAACAGGGAACTGACATGGGGCGGGGGCAGATCTGTATGGATTCTCCCATCTGGGCTCTGTCCCTGAATCAGCCTTTGGTCCCAGTAACTTGGGATGACCAAAACAGGCAGTTGTATATTTTTAATTTCTTCCACGCTAAGGTTGAAAGGAAATAAGAATCCAGGGTAAGAGAAAGGTCATATGTTTTCTCATAACGAACCAGTTGCTGTCAAGTCGACCCCGACTCATGGTGCTCCCATGTGTGTCAGAGTAGAACTGTGCTCCATGGGGTTTTCAATGGCTGATTTTTTGGAAGTAGATCACCAAGGCTTTCTTCCGAGGTGCCTCTGGGGGGACTCGAACCACCAAACTTTTGGTTAGCAGCCAAGCACAATAACCGATAACCACTTGTGCCACCCAAGGACTCCTATTTTCTCGTACTTTTATACTTAAATTTGTAAGCACCCTCCTTGAGGACCATGGGGAAATGAGGTCCTCTGAAAAATTTTACATTACTTTCCTAGGACTGCTGTAACAAAATACCATAAACTGAGTGGGCTTAAAATAACAGAAATTTATTCTCTCATATTTCTGGAGGCTTGAAGTCTGAATTCAGGGTATCGGCAGGGCCACGCTCCTCCTGAAGATTCTGGGGAGGATGTTTCCTTGTCTCTCCCAGCTTCTGGTGGTCCCGGGCATTCCTCGGCTTGTGGCAGCATCGCTTCATCCCTCCTCTGTCTTCACCTGGCTGTCTTGCTTCTGTGTCTGTCTGTCTATGTGTCTTTTCTCTTTTTATAAGGACACCAGTCATTTTGGATTACAACCCACCCTACTCCAGTATGACCTCATGGTAACTTAACTGACAACATATTCAAAGACCCTATTTCCAAACAAGGTCATGTTCATAGGTGCCAGGCGCTAGGATTTCAACATATCTTTTCGGGAGATACAACAACAGATACAAGTCTGTTGTTGTAGTTAGTTGCTGTCGAGCTGATTCCAGCTCATGGTGACCCCAGGTGTTACAGAGTAAAACTGCTCCATAGGGTTTTCTTGGCTGTAATCTTGACGGAAGCAGATTGCCAACCCTTTTTTTCTGTGGACTGTTGGGTGGGTTTGTACCATCAAGAGTCGAGCGCAAACCATTTGTACCACATAATCCCTAAATAATAATCCATCGATTGTAGTTCAGTGAAAGAATTTGGAGTCGTTTCTTTGAGAGTCATCATAAAACTGTATTTTGATACATCATTGCATTTTTTGATTTTATTATGAACTCCTTTTATTTATGCAGAAATCACTGAGCAAATAAAGCACTCAGAACCTTAGTTCTGGGTCTTAAACTAGATTGAATGAGTTGAGCCTTTGTCATTCAGCCTTAGTCATTCAGTTTACACTGGCAAAAACACGCATCTTTAAGAGAAATAAAGGTCTCGTAACCAGTTCAATACCAAAAGAAAATCTCTCATTTTTAATAGTGTATTTGGACCCATTACTCATGTATTACCAGTATATTTTGAAGCAAACCTTATTCTGAGGATGGAATTGGGAAATCTGTTCTTAACAGTGTTCTTTCTTTGTTTTCACAGGTATAATATCAGAGCTATCTAAACTGAAAAGATTCAAGGAATGCTGATGAACGACTTTGATATTGACTACTAAGTGAGAATTTTTCAAGTCCCTGGGTACACTGTGGACAGTTTTTAATTAATGTGTTGAAGTCTGAGAATAAAATGTGTGATTGATTTCACACAAGAAGATGTCAAGGAAGAGCATTTCCTGGAACGTGTTTCTGCTGAAGGGTGCCTGTTACTTTCTGTGTCTCAGCACCTCGTACTTGCCCCTGATGCTTTTAAAGTGTCCTTCTGCATCCTCCCTGATCCTCTAATTTTCTTACTTTTGACCCATGTAGGTTAGAGGAGAATATCTCTCCTAGAAATACCAGCCTGTTGAAGCTTTCCCTCCTGCATTATTTTGTTCACTTCCAGTGGATTCCCCACTATTTTCTTTTCGGTATTGGGTGGCTAATTAGTTGCCATATTGTTAAAAGTCTCCCAAATCAGTCCAGATTCTAAAAGAGGACTCTGCTGTTTCCTTCAGTAGAAGCTATTTTAATTCTTCTTTATGCTTCTTACCTATCGAGGAAGGTGGTAAAGCAGTGTCCCTCAGAGTCTTACCAGGAATGCCCATCGAAGAAAGCATCCTCACTCCTATCAATGCGAAATCACCCCAAAATAGAACCATGAGAGGCACTACTGATTTGGTTTTCATTGGGTGCTCCTTCTTCTCCTCTTTATTATTTTCCCATTAAAATAACACCTAGGTAGTATAGAAAATTTAGTAGAAAGAATATGAATAGTCCCACTACCTAAACATAATCCTCAGAAACATTTCACGATGTTTTTTTTTTCAAGTCTGTTTTGTTTTCTATGCATGTTTCATTTCTCCTGTGGAAACTTACATAATGTCTTCACAGTACAGATACAATTTTATATAGTCTTTTTCACTTACTATTTTAGCAAAATGCTTTCTTTTTATTCATGGCCTTCTGAAGCATTAGATTAATAATTGCATAATATTCAACATTTACTGATTTCTGTAATGTTGGTCCTTGAAGATTGTTTCTGGTTGGTCATTGGGATGAGCATGTCTGTGCTTTTTGTGCATGATTTTTCCTGCATTTGGGGTAATTTCCCAAGTCTATATTACCAGGAATGTCTATTGATTATCAAACCATTTATAAGACTTTTTCATAAATGTATAGCAAATAGGAATTATTAACTTGAGTATAAGATATGAGATATATGAATTCACAAGTATTAAAATGAAATAATATATTTAATCCTTAGTTTAGAAAGAAGCCAGTATGCTTATTAATTGTGATGGGTGGTGAAGGTGATGGTATAGCATTGGGTTGGGATGGGGAGATTATCTTATTGAATGAACACTCATGGACCCAGCTTTCTCTGGAAGTGGTAGTATCTGAGCCCAAAGGAGAGGTACTGGAAGCCCATAGGTAATTTAAGTGCCCATCATTAGTTTTTTTCAACTTTAAATAGACTATAAATTCCAAGATTGAAGAATGA